GGAAGGGGCTGGGCATAGTGGCCCACACTTGTAACCTCAGCACTTTGGGAGGCCGAGACGGGAGATCGCCTGAGGTCAGGAGTTCTAGACCGGCATAGTGAAACCCTGTGTCTACTAAAAATACAAAGACATTAGGCGGGCGTGGTGGTGCACACCTGTAGTCCCAGCTACTCAGGAGGCTGAGGCAGGAGAATCTGTTGAACCAGGGAGGCTGAGGTTGCGGTGAGCTGAGATCATGCCACTGCACTCCAGCCTGGGTGACGTGAGACTTCCTCTCAGAAAAAAAAATAACAATAATACAGAGAAATTCCTAACCGCTGGTACGTCTGAATGGGATCTTATCTGAGAATGAGGTCTCATGGAGTTTGGCCATGTCCCTACCAAAATCTCATCTTGAACTGTAGCTCCCATAATTCACCCGTGTTGCGGGAGGGACCCGGTGGGAGATAACAGAATCAGGAAGGTGGTTTTCTCTACCATGTTCCTGTGGTCGTGAATAAGTCTCATGAGGTCTCATGGTTTTATAAAGGGGCATTCCCTGTACACGCCCTCTCTTGCCTGCTGCCATGGAAGAAGTGACTTTTATAACATTTATTATATAATTATATAATATATAATTATATATATAACATACACACACACACACACATATATATATATGTATATAAATAAAGAGTTCATGGCGACCAGGGGCGGTGGCTCGAACCTGTGATCCCAGCACTTTGGGAGGCCGAGGCAGGCAGATCATTCGAGGTCAGGAGTTTAAGATCAGCCTGGTCCACATCATGAAACCCCTACTAAAAATACAGAAGTTAGCCAGGCATGGTGGTGGGTGCCTACAATCCCAGCTAGTTGGGAGGCTGGGGTGGGGGAATTCCGGAACCCGGGAGGCGGAGGTTGCAGGGAGCTGAGATTGCATCACTGCACTCCAGCCTGGGCCATAGAGCAAAACTTCATCTCAAAGAGGGAAAAAGAGCGTTCATGGCACATGAGCAACGCCACCACAGCCTTTCTTTAACGTCCAGGTGCTTTTATAGGGATAACAAGTCTCCTGTTAACTGCACTTGGTAGTATAAGCTTCCTCGGGCTTCTTACGTGATCATGATGCTCAATGTCTATTAAGCGCTTCCTAACATCGAAATTCTTTAGCAAGTACCTGTCGTTTACGTTGGGTGGGGTTTTCTGGATCTGATCTGCTCGTCTTCATTATTTAAAACAGAGACTGTGGTCGGCGCGGTGACTCAGGCCTGTCATCCCAGCACTGTGGGAGGCCGAGGCGGGCGGATCACCTGAGGTCGGGAGTTCGAGACCAGCCTGGCCAACACGGAGAAACCCCGACTCTACTAAAGCGACAAGAATTAGCTGGCGTGGTGGCGGGCGCCGGTAACCCCAGCTACTCGGGAGGCTGAGGCAGGAGACTCGGTGAACCCGGGAGGCGGAGGCTGCGGTGCGCCGAGACCGCGCCATTGCCCTGCAGCCCGGGCGACAGACCGAGACTCCGTCTCAGAAGATCAATGAGTGACACAGAGACGGTTCTGATAATCAATGAGTGACACAGAGGACGGTTCTGATACACAGCATGGGCCGCGCAGGGAGCGCCCGCAACGACATGAGGCCGCCCTCCAGCAGGGCGCTCGGAGGACGGGGTGCTGCCGCTGCTTCGGCGGGCGGGGGTACCTGCCAGGCAGGTCGCGTGCCCCGGGATCCCCGTCCCACACTTTCCCGGGGTTCCGTGTGCCACATTTCCGGGGTTCCCCGTCCCACATTCCCCGGGTTTCCCGTCCCCCACATTCCCGGGGTTCCGTGTCCCGCATTTCCGGGTTCCCCATCCCACATTCCCCGGGTTTCCCGTCCCCCACTTTCCCGGGGTTCCGTGTCCCACATTTCCGGGGTTCCCCATCCCACATTCCCTGGCTTTCCCGTCCCCCACATTCCAGGGGTTCCGTGTCCCACATTTCCGGGGGTTCCTGTCCCCCACATTCCAGGGGTTCCGAGTCCCACATTTTCAGGGTTCCCCGTCCCACATTCCCTGGCTTTCCCATCCCCCACATTCTAGGGGTTCCGTGTCCCACATTTCTGGGGTTTCCTGTCCCCCACATTCCCAGGGTTCCGTGTCCCACATTTTCGGGGTGCCCCGTCCCACATTCCCTGGCTATTCCGTCCCCCACATTCCCAGGATTCTGTGTCCCACATTTCCGGGGTTCCCCGTCCCACATTCCCCGGGTTTCCCGTCCCCCACATTCCCGGGGTTCCGTGTCCCACATTTCCGGGGTTCCCCATCCCACATTCCCCGAGTTTCCTGTCCCCCACATTCCCGGGGTGCCCTGTCCCACATTCCCCGGGTTTCCCGTCCCCCACATTCCCTGGGTTCCGTGTCCAACATTTCCGGGGTTCCCCGTCCCACATTCCCGGGGTTGCGTGTCCCACATTTCCAGGGTGCCCCGTCCCACATTCCCCGGGTTTCCCATCCCCCACATTCCCGGGGTTCCGTGTCCAACATTTCCGGGGTTCCCCGTCCCACATTCCCCGAGTTTCCCATCCCCCACATTCCTGGGGTTCCGTGTCCCACATTTCCGGGGTGCCCCGTCCCATATTTCCGGGTTTCCCGTCCCCCACATTCCCGGGGTTCTGTGTCCCACATTTCTGGGATTCCCCGTCCCACATTCCCTGGGTTTCCTGTCCCCCACATTCCCTGGGTTCCGTGTCCCACACTTCCTGGGTTCCCCGTCCCACATTCCCCGGGTTTCCCGTCCCCCACATTCCCAGGGTTCCGTGTCCCACATTTCCAGGGTTCCCCTTCCCACATTCCCTGGCTTTCCCGTCCCCCACATTCCAGGAGTTCCGTGTCCCACATTTCCGGGGTTTCCTGTCCCCCACATTCCCAGGGTTCTGTGTCCCACATTTTTGGGGTGCCCCATCCCACATTCCCTGGCTTTCCCGTCCCCCACATTTCCGGGGTTCCCCGTCCCACGTTCCCCGGGTTTCCCCATCCCCCACATTCCCAGGGTTCCGTGTCCCACGTTTCCGGGGTGCCCCGTCCCCCACATTCCCAGGGTTCCGTGTCCCACATTTCCGGGATTCCCCGTCCCAAATTTCCGGGATTCCCCTTCCCACATTCCCCGGGTTTCCTGTCCCCCACATTTCTGGGGTTCCGTGTCCCACATTTCCGGGGTTACCCGTCCCACATTCCCCGGGTTCTCCGTCCCGCATTCCCCGGGTTTCCCCATCCCGCATTCCCCGGGGTTCCATGTCCCACATTTCTGGGGTTGCCCTTCCCACATTCCCCGGGTTCTCCGTCCTGCATTCCCCAGGTTTCTTGTCTCCCACATTCCCGGGGTTCCATGTCCCACATTCCCGGGGTTCCCCTTCCCGCATACCCCGGGTTTCCCGTCCCCCAGATTTCCGGGCGTCCCCTTTGCACATTCCCCGGGTTCCGCGTCCCACATTCCCAGGGTTCCCCTTCCCCCGCATTCCCGGGTTTCCCCGCCCTCCGCATGCCCCGAGTTCCCCGTCCTGCATTCCCCGGGTTCCCCTTCCCCCACATTCCCCCGGTTCTCCGTCCCCCGCATTCCCGGGGTTCCCCGTCCCATATTCCCCAGGTTCCGCGTCCCACATTTCCGGGGTTGCCCTTCCCACATTCCCCTGGTCCGCGTCCCACATTCCCAGGGTTCCCCTTACCGCATTCCCCTGGTTCCCCTTCCCCGCATTTCCCCGTCCCACATGCCCCAAGTTCCCTGTCCCACATTCCTGGTGTTCCCCGTTCAACATGCCCCAGGTTCCCCCTCCCACATGCCCCGGGTTCGGCGTTCCGCATTCCCTCGGTTTCCCGTCCCCCGCATTCCTGGTGTTCCCCATCCCACATGCCTTGGGTTCCTCGTCCCGCATTCCCCCGGTTCCCCACATTCCCGGGTTTCCCCGTCCCACATGCCCCGAGTTCCCTGTCCCACATTCCCGGTGTTTCCCGTCCCACATTTCCAGGGTTCCCCTTCCCACATTCCCGGTGTTCCCCGTCCCACATGCCCCGGGTTCCGCGTCCCACATTCCTGGTGTTCCCCGTCCCACATTTCCCGGGTTCCGCGTCCCACGTTCTCAGTGTTCCCCGTCTCACATTCCCGGTGCTCCCCGTCCAACATTCCCCGGGTTCCCAGTCCCACATTCGCGGTGTTCCCCGTCCCACATTCCCTGGGTTCCGCAGCCCACATGGCCCCGTATCCCACGTGGCCCGGGTTCCGCGTCCCACATTCCTGGTGCTCCCCGTCCCACATTCCCCGGGTTCCCCGTCTCACATTTCCGGGGTTCGCCTTCCCACGTTCCCGGTGTTCCCCGTCTCACATTCCCCGGGTTCCCCGTCCCACATTCGCGGTGTTCCCCGTCCCCCATGCCCCGGTGTTCCCCGTCCCACATTTCCGGGGTTCCCCTTCCCACATTCCCGGTGCTCCCCGTCCCACATGCCCCGGGTTCCGCGTCCCACATTCCGGTGTCCCCGTCCCACTCCGTGCGTTGCTCCGTGACTCCTGTCTGCAGCACGTGCTGGCTGTGCGGACTCCCCTCCTCCCTCCTGCCGGGCCCTCCTGTACAGCAGGCGGCACACACAGGCCTGGAGCCCCAAGCGGCCATCGCGGAAGGCTTGCCCGCCGCGTGCTCAGCCCTGCCTCAAGCCTGGGGTTAGGGAAGCCAGGCATGGCAGGGCTGTTCTTCTTGCTAGGGAGTCCCAGGTAAATCCTTCTGCATGGAGCTGGAAGTGGAAGGTCTACATGGTCCTGCAGGGGGTGCTGATGGCAAGGATGCACAGAGCATCGCACTCTGAGCACCTCTGCCCAGCAGACGCAGCAAGCAGCGTCCCCAGAGCACCTGTGTCCAGCAGATGCAGGGAGCCCTGTCCCTAGAGCAACCGTGTCCAGCGGATGCAGGCAGCACCACACCCGCTAGACACAGGGGACCAGTAACCTTTAACCCCCCAAGGACAGACGCTGTTATGATTATTCACACGGTGCACCCACCTGCTCTGAAGGTCGTCCATGTTCAGCTCAGCAACGTAATGGGTGGCGGAGGAGACAGTGACCACCCTTGCACTGTGGCCCGGGGACCCTGATTCTCGCAGGGTATCCAGGAGAAGGTTGGTGAGCAGGAAGTGCCCCAGGTAGTTCAGGCCGAAATGTTCCTCGAATCCATCTCTGGTTTTCCTCTGAGGGACCATCATCACCCCAGCTGCACAAGAGGGAATATCAGAGGGAGTTAGATGGCGGAGATAGTGGAGAAATCTCACTGACGGATTCCGGGGATGCACAAATGTCCCAGGACGTCAGAGGGTGGGGTCTAGAGCTGGCTGCCGGGTCTTCCTCCTGAGCCTCTGCTTCCTGTTTTCCATGTGGTGAGGAACATTCTAGATCAGTGAAGTCCGTCCCTGCTTTCCATCTCTGCATCTCTATGCCTTGAGTTTAAAAATAATATTCACAGCAGGGTGCAGGGGCTCACGCCTGTACCCCAGCACTTTCTGAGGTGGGCGGATCACCTGAGGTTGGGAGTTCGAGGCCAGCCTGACTAACATGGACAAACCCCGTCTCTACTTAAAAAATACAAAAATTAGCCATGCATGGTGGCACATGCCTGTAATCCCAGCTACTTGGAAGGCTGAGGCGAGAGAATAGCTTAAATCCAGGAGGCGGAGGTTGTGGTGAGCTGAGATTGCACCACTGCACTCCAGCCTGGGCAACAAGAGCAAAACTCTCTCAAAAAAGAAAAAGCCACTATGATAATACAGTAACACACACACACACAGAGAGAGTGAAAATCTTCGAAGTCACCAAATGGGTTCCCCTGGACAATAATTCTGGGTGGCTGGGTGTGGTGGCTCACACATGTAATCCCAGCCTTTGGGCAAGTGAGAAGGGCAGATTGCTTGAGGTCAGCAGTTCGAGACCAGCCTGGGCAACATACTGAAACACTTTCTGTACCAAAAATGCAAAAAATTAGCTGGCCATGGTGGTGCTCGTCTGTAGTCCCAGCTACTCGAGAGGCTGAGGTGGGAGGACTGCTTGAGCCCAAGAGGCGGAGGTTGCAGTAAGCTGAGACTAAGCCATTGCCCTGCAGCCTGGGCGACAGAGATCCTGTCTCCAAAAATAAAAATCTGGACAAGAATATGGCAGCACTGTTCACAACAGCAAAGACTGGGAACCAACCCAAATGCCCATCCGTGATAGACTGGATAAAGAAAATGTGGCACATAGACACCATGGAATACCATGCAGCCATGAAAAACGATGAGTTCCTGTCCTTTTCAGGGACATGGGTGAATCTGGAAACCGTCATTCTCAGCAAACTGACACAAGAACAGAAAACCAAACACCGCACGTTCTCACTCATAAGTGGGTGTTGAACAATGAGAACACACGGACACAGGGAGGGGAGCGTCACACACTGGGGCGGGTCGTGGGGTTGGGGGCTAGGGGAGGGATAGCCGGGGGTGGGGGGATTGGGGAGGGAGAGCAGGGAGTAGGGGGATCGGGGAGGGAGAGCAGGGGGTAGGGGGATTGGGGAGGGAGAGCAGGGGGTAGGGGGATTGGGGAGGGAGAGCATTAGGAGAAATCCCTGTTGTAGATGATGGTGGGATGGAGGCAGCAAACCACCATGACATGCGTGTACCCGTCTAACAATCCTGCATGATCTGCACACGTACCCCAGAACTTAACGTATAATAAAAAAATAAAACACATTTGATTAAAAAAAAAAAAAAAGAATCGCTGCTATGGCAGTCCCTCTTCAGAATGTCCCACAAACAAATTGCTCAGACGTCCTCTGGGAAATGCTGACCTCAGTATAAACATGGCTGATCCTCACCACAGATCACAGGGCAGTCCCGCTGGCCATGATTCTGTAAACATAATTACCACTGGAGGCTCTGTGCTTGACCGATTCTATCTCCCAGACGCAGAACGCCCCACCCCTGTCAGGCAAAGCCTGGCTGAGTGCCTGCCCTGACGTCCTTGCCGTGGGGACATGACCTCAAAGATGACTCATTCTAGAAACACGCAGGAACCATACTGTCTTGTACTGAGAGCAGACCAGCTTGCTTGGGTATTAATGCAAATGTGTATATGTAGATACGTATATGTATGTACATGCATGATGTGGCTATGTATACAGAGGCACGGTGTGGATCAGGAATTCTGTATCATGTAAATGCATGCAGACATATTCATAGACACATGCATATGTATTTGTGAACGTGTTTATACTGTCATGCACTTGGGTGTGTGACTGCATGTATGCACGATTCACTGAAAGCTATACACTTACAGGGATGGGTGTTTGCATGTACGTATGTGTGTTCACGTCTTTGCATGCACAGGTGCATTTTCAAATGCCTATCCATTTGTACCTTTCACATATATGTAAAAGAAAACACTGCATGCACATGAACCTGACTTTGCATGTATGCCTGTATATCCATATGTATACACACGTGTATACATGATGCGTATCTGCATATATGTATATATGTATGTATTATTTATTTATTTTTGAGACAGAATTTTGCTCTCATTGCCCAGGCTGGAGTGCAATGGTGCGATCTCGGCTCACTGCAACCTCCTCCTCCAGGGAGGGTTCAGGTGATTCTCCTGCCTCGACCTCCTGAGTAGCTGGGATTACAGGTCCCCGCCACCACGCACAGCTAATTTTTTGTATTTTCAGTAGAGACGGGGTTTCATCATGTTGGCCAGGCTGGTCTCGAACTCCCGACCTCAGGTGATCCGCCCACCTCGGCCTCCAAAAGTGCTGGGATCACAGGCGTGAGCCACCGCGCCCGGCCTGTTCTTCCCACCTTTGTGTCCATGAGTGCCTGGTGTGTACTTTCCAGGTCTAAGTGAGAATGTGCAGTCATGAATTTCTGTCTGCTCTTTCCATCTGTTTTGTTGTTGTTGAGACGGAGTTCAGCTCCTGCTGCCCAGGCTGGAGTGCCACGGCGCAATCTCGGCTCACAGCAACCTCCTTCTCCCAGGTTCAAGCAATTCTCCTGTCTCAGCCTCCCCAGTAGATGGGATGACAGGTATGCATCACCACGCTCAGCTACATTTTAGTAGAGATGGGGTTTCTCTATGTTGGCCAGTCTGGTCTCGAACTCCTGACCCCAAGTGATCCGTCCACCTCGGCCTCCCAAAGAGCTGGGATTACGGGTGTGAGGCACCATGGCCGGCCATGCACGCGTACTTTAGACCAGTGTCGTCGGGATCTTTCTAGTCAGCACATCCAACTCCAAAGTTTGACCTGTGCTGAAGGAGAATTTAGTTGTTGAGTTCTTTGCCAATGGCTTTATGTATTATTTTTCCTCTTCCTATGAAAGACCAGATTGGTGCCAGCTAGAGCGACTGGATGGGTGCCTGGGTGCCTGTTCGGAGGCCATGACCATGGCCTAGGAAGCAATCATGGCGGCCCAGAGGAGGGACGGATGGGGCGAAGTCAGAAACGCAGGACTCAGGACTAGCTACACAATCCACTGCAAATTCAGAGCCTACGAGCTTTTGTGTGTGTTTTAAATTTTCCATAATCATGTTTTTTTCTGTATCTACAATTTTTATTTATTCATAAAATATTTATTTTATAAATATATATTTATTTGTAAAAAAAATTTATTTTTGTCATTTTTGTTTTACTTTTAAATCAAAGGAATGTATAATTACAGTGCACTGGCCAGGTGCAGTGGCTCACGCCTGCAATCCCAGCACTTTAGGAGGCCCAGGCGGGCAGCTCACGAGGTCAGGAGTTCGAGACCAGCCTGACCAACATGGTGAAATCCCGTTTTTAGTAAAAATACAAAATGTTAGCAGGGCATGGTGGTGCGCACCTGTAGTTCCAGCTACTCAGGAGCCTGAGGCAGGAGAATTGCTTGAATCCGGGAGGTGGAGGTTGCAGTGAGCAAAGATCGTGCCACTGGGTGACAGAGACAGACTCCACTTTAAAAAAAAAAAAAAAAAAAAAGGTATACAGATCATTAGGGAAATGTTAGTGGAATCACATAATTCGAGCAGTCCCCCCTCTCAGGTAAGCGCCTCCCACATCTGCACCCCGTAAGCCATTTTTTAACCCCAAATTAATTATCACATTCCCATGAGGTCAGTACGACTCTAGCTTCTAACACCATACATTTCATTCGCCTGTTTTTGTTTTTTTTTTCCTGGGAGGCAGAGGTTGCAGTGAGAAGAGAGAGCGTCACTGCACTCCAGCCTGGGCGACGGAGCGAGGGTCTGTCTCGATAAAGTACAATAAAATGACAATAATAACAATCGTTTGCCCATTTTTAAAAACTTCAATAGTTTTTGGGGAACCAGTGGGTTTTGGTTCCATGGATACATTCCTGAGTGGCGGTTTCCGGGATCCTGGTGCTCAATGTGTCATCGTTAGCAAATACACTGATGTGTCATCGCGGTTTGTCTAAGGAACGAACAAACACTGTGGCCACGTCTCCGTATGGGATGCACCCGCTAGGGGCAAGCACGGAGGGTCGGCAGCGCCCTCTGCCCACTGCAAGGTGGGTGATGAAGAAGGCCTTGTCGTTCGGGGATCTGCGCGCCTGACGGTATTTACGGGGGACTGCACGCTCGTGGGGACAATCCCATGTTGTGCCTCATGCAGTGAACCCGGGTGAGGCGTGTCTGGAACAGGGGAGGGTAAGCGAGAGTTCTCTGCTGGGAGGAGAAAGCAGAGTGGTGTGGATGACAGGACAGTGAGAGAGAAACAGACAGAGACAGACAGACAGAGAGGGAGCAGGGCCAGAGAGGGCGGGCAGAGAAGAGACGGCGACAGAGACAGAGAGCTGGCGAGGGAGTGGGGAGAGACGGAGCTCCACGAGGAGAGGGAGACAGGAGAGGGAAGAAACAGAAGGAGATAGAAAAACAGAGGGACAGGGGCAGAGAAAGAGAGGGAGAGGGGGAGAGAGGAGGAGGGTAAGCGACAGAGGAGACACGGGGCGGGGGGAGACACAGCAAGAGAAAGGAGATAGAGGAGAGGAAGAGTCGGGGAGGGAAACGGAGAGAGGGAGGAAGGGGGGAAGAGGGAGGGAGAGGAGAGAGGGAGGGAGGGAGAGAGGAGAGAGAGGAGAAAGGAGGAAAAGGGGAGGGAGAAGGGAGAGAGGGAGAGAGAAGGCAGGGAGGAGGGCGGCAGGAGGGAGGCTGCGACGGCAAAACACACAGAAGAAGCGGGTGACGGAGGGG